TAATAATAATAATAATAATAATAATAATAATAATAATAATAATAATAATAATAATAATAATAATAATAATAATAATAATAATAATAATAATAATAATAATAATAATAATAATAATAATAATAATAATAATAATAATAATAATAATAATAATAATAATAATAATAATAATAATAATAATAATAATAATGATTCTCAAACTATTTCTTAATTAAGGGATCATTTTATCATTTTAGCGATTTTGTAGCAAGGATTACAATATTCGAAAATAAAATAAACCCTGTTAATTTGAGAATAACTTTTAATCGAAACTTTGAATTGTATTAATTTATCAAACATAGGTATGATGAGATCTGATTGTTTTCCACTCACTGCATTACCACTCTCGTGGACTACTTGTAATCCGCGGATTACCGGTTGAGAACTATCATTACAATCATATAATGTGATACTGTCTCGTATTTTAATCCTATTAAAATTAATGAATTTTGGTAAAAAAAGAGTTTTTGGATACAAAAGATCGGTACCATAGTAATACTATAGGCTACAGTATAGACCACAGTAAACCACAGTACAGGTTATAGTGAACTATGGTTGACTGTGGGCTACAGTAAGCAATGTCATATCATTTATTTACAATACATCCTTTCCATTCAACCAAAAAAACAGGTAAGGAAAAACAAGCGATTAATTAACGAATTAATTGGTTAAATACAATGAAAATAAAAAGTTTCAAAGTAGCAAATAATTCTTTCCAGCCTACAAAATTTTGCAATATTCAAAATTTAGATTAAAAATGAAAAACGGTAACTGACTCTATAAATATATTATTTATATGGAATAAATTGAATTTGTCTTTGCCAAATTGAAAGGTTTGGATAACATACATTACATACTGTAATATCGTATCAAAGTATATCATCGAAATGATATCATTTTTTTCTGCTTATAGAATTTTGAAATATTTTAAATTAGACTTAAAAAATGAGATTGACCATACAAATAGACATAAACAAAAAATTTTGCAATTTTCAAAAAATAATTAAAATTTTCGCAAGAAAAATAAAATATTCAAGCAACGAATTATTAATTTGAATTCTATTATCTGTTTGAAATTTCCAAAACAAAAATAAAATACCCAAATAACGAACTCTTCATTTTAACTCTATCATCTGTTTGAGAGATCACCCTTTCAGCATTCATTAAATAAATAATATCACTGTCTAAAGTCGAACGTAATGCAATCATAAATGAATCTGCTCTTTCTTTTTTCTTATTCATTTGATAATATAAGCCAAACTTATTGAATAACAATGTTGAAATTAGTTCCAACTTTTGATAAATTATCCCATCGTTTTAATTAATAAAACATTGTTTACACTCCTTGCCACTTATATTAACTGCCAATGTTAATATTTATTGTAAATTTTCCATGTTAGACGGATGATAACATCAGTTGAAAGCGATTTAAAATTTTAACAAATAATCAACCGAAACTTTCGTCAAAACCTTTCTACCTGTAGGACTAAAAATTGAAATTTTGCGTAACAGTACAATATTCAGTGAGCAGCATCTTTATTTCAGTACCAAAAATTCAAATTAGGAAAAATATTAGGCAAAATTTGTGTCAGTGCATTAGATTTAATTATTCCCACTCTTTCTTCCATATCATTTTCCGCTGACTCAGAAATATTACAAAAAAATTAAGTTTAACAGTTCCGGGAAAACTAAGAATAATGAATTTTCGTGACGCTTAATTGGAAAATTAAATTTTCGAAATTCCAATATTTCAAAAGAAAATTCTGATTGTCACATCAAAACCGCACCAAGAAAAACAAATCGGGGTAAAATAGAGGGATACCGGATTACATTCCTGCAAATTAATCTCATTCTCATACATACCCATTTCTTGAAATGAATATGCACGTAAACCTGACTATGACAGCGCTGCAGTTGATAATCAAATAGATGTCAATGAAATGATTCACAAAGGAAAATTAAGATATTCACGTACAATCATGATCCGGTAGAATAAATCATATCAGTTAATATATTAGGAAGGAAGTAAATCGAACATCAAAATTACATCACTAAAGTAATCTCGGAAAAAAAAGTACATATGAAATTGAATTTGCTCGTGTGCATATAAATTTAAAAACCATGAATTTTGCAATTTTCCTCCTTAACAATACCAACTCTGCAAAGAAAATCCTTAATATGTTGTCTTTGATCGCCAGTAAGCTGGATTACTTCACCATATTCCGGATGATCCACTGTAGTCCCGTTACAATTATATTCCTAGAAATTTGTTAATTGAATTCCAGAAAATTTTTTCGAAAAAAATACTGTGTATATATGCATACTATGCTTTTTCATTTATACTGCACACTCTCATTCCCTCTCACCAGCAATTTGTCCAATCAAATTAGTATATTTCTTGAAAATTTAAACACTTGGTTTCACTAAGAGAGTGATTAAAGCAAGGGAAATTTTCGCAAAAATTTCAAAGAATAATTTAATTTGGGTATCCAAAATATTCCTACTCTAACTAGAAAGTTAAGTTCACATTATTACTGTAAAAATTTTAACAAAAAAAAAAAATTTAATTGCTGAAGTAAGGGAAACATTTCCGAAAGCTTCACAAAGGAAAAACTAGTGCCTGTTAAATTTTTACTAATACTTATAAACTGAGGCATTACTTTGTATGGTGCATGAACTAGTTACTAATACATGAACTTACAACAATTACACTATTCCTGACATCTTGCTATCAACCAATAAATAATTACTCGAGAATTTAAAGTGCAACACGAATTTGTTTTTATAAAGACTAGCATTCCGTGTTCTGCAAAACAGAAATCATTTTAAAAAATCAAGGGATAAGAAATCAGAGCTGTTCAGATTTCAGGGAACCACTATAAGTTGTAACTGACAATCATAAAAGAAATTTAGAAAACTATAACGAGCGGAAAAAAAAAGAAATATATAATCGGTAATGACTAATTCAGAAGATGGTGAAAAATAAGAAAAGCAAAAATGTAGCAAGAAATTGTCAGAATGTGAAGAAAACAAAGTGTAAAAAAAAAAAGTACGCGGAAAAAGATAATTTAATAACAGAGATGTTCATTTCAAATTATTAAATAAAGAACGATAACAGATATTTCCCGGAAACTACCACCTGTCATAAATCCCCAATTTTAATGTAAACATTAAATATTGGCTAACAACTAAGGAATAAGAATGGTAGATGAAAACAGAAATAGATTAAACCAGGTTTTATGAATAATAAAGCATATAAACAGCAAATCAAATAATTACATTAATCTAAAATATTAACTGCAAATTACTTTCGGATTATTTGTATTTAAATGGCTTCAGGAAAATGGAAATATCTGAAAAAAAAAACAATAATATGAGTCCAACATTATAGAGAAATAAGAATACTACCGACAAACAACCACAATATAATGATCCTGACGAATGGAAGAAAGGAAATGAGCATGGAATATACGAGCACAAAATTTGAAACCCAATGAAATGATTGAGGACTGAATCTTTCGATAGATTTTCTCATAGAAGACAACATAGTGAGCTTTTTTGACTAAATCAAGATTCGCATCAATCCATAATTTTGGATTATCATGAAAATAATCTGCCTGATCCACGTAGTTCGGAAGATGATGAAAATCGGGTGAACAATCAAGTGCTGTCACTGATACGTTTAAGCCATGAAAATAGCTATACTGTGGCAAGGAGAAACAAGGCATCAAATGAATCAATTCAAAATGTTGCCCCTTTGGAAAACGTAATTTTGCATCCTCGATAATCCAATATGTTGCGGAAAAAGGGCCAACTTGATGAAATAAACCGAAATATATTACCAGAGATATATTAACGATAAGCAATAATCGAATCCAGAAAATACGACGCATTTTTGTCGTATGCGATTGTCTATTGTGGAAAAAAACACCAGCGAAAAGACAGAACAACGGTATAGTAGGTAACAAAAACCGGTGTTCCTTATGAGCAATTAAGCTATGAATCGTGATGTATAGTACGGGAACACAAACGAAAACAAATGGAATGGAACGGTTTCGTACTGCAATAACCATACCCCAGAATATTGGGATCAGGTGTATCGTTAATACAGCAGGTAATCCTTGTGATATAAACCAGTACCATGGATGTGACCCAAAATGACTACTTCCACCTTCTAAAACATTAAAACGAATGAAATTCCATGCTGTGAATGTTAGTTTTCCATAAGCAACAGAATCCAAAATAGTTACGAGAAACAGAACTGGAAGGCATGATAACAAGCAAGTATAAAGCAATTTCACTGATGAATTGGATCGCCAGAGATGCCACAAACCAAAAGGAATCCAAATTAGAATAGCAGTGGGTCGAATCAGAATAGTAAGGAAACCAAGAGGCATATAAGGCCAACAAGATTGTTTAAGGTCACCCTTAGACAATGGGTACCATTGAAGAGCGAACAATGTTAACACCGTTTCTAACGTGTTCGAAAGAGTACGCGGAGCACAATACCATACAAACCAGCATGATAAATAACTTAAAAGAGCATATTTTGCCCCATTAGATGGTAGAATTCGTTTGGCAAATTTATAATAACAGTAATCGGAAAATGCGAATAATAACGCATGTAATATCCGAGGGGCTTGGATAATGAAAAAATTAGAATCAATGGTACATAAATAACCCAGAAAGTACAACAGAGCAATGATAAATGGATGCAAAACGGAACGAAGTGAAGTCATCCATTCCCAGGATAAATATCCCGTACCATACACAGCCCAATGAGCTACTTCCACACTTTGGAAAAGTTCATCTGGTACAAAATATGTTCGAACCAGGAAGACATTTATAATGCGTAGGGCAATCAGTGCGCACAGTAGGATGGATTTTGATTGCATAATGTTTCGTATCGGTATATGATCCTCACTGCAAAAATTCCTTCCTTGGTCGTTATTTCACATTTCTTTACACGAAATAATTTTAGGATTAATAAATATTTAGAATTATCGATAATGTTCAGTCATTCGATGCTTCATGTATCTTATATTCAGAAGAAATGCAACAGAAAAATTATATAAGACAAACTTCAAGGAAAACCAAATAGCATGCAATAACATATAACACAAAGCAGAACATTGTCATCCCGAGATAATCAAAATTTGATACAAACGAAAATCAGGGATCATCGACAATATCTTACAACAATCAACAATGGAAATATTATATGAACCTAATTTTGGGAAACAACAAACGATAAAACCTACTGGATACTAAACGAAAGAATTACCAAAACCTATTCGGGATCTGAAACCAACAATCACCTAAATTAATTAATATACTAGAAAACCAGAATAACTTAGAAGACAACAGATGTCCAGATCCCCGCACGACAGAAGTATATTTGAAGAAAAAATTACCTTCTTTAAATAGCGAACAATCTTCTTTAAATCATATTCAGGTGCAATTCCTTGCACAGTTGTGATAGTTTTACGGCCAGTTCGCTGTTGAATACGAATATGGCAGAAGCCTTGGCGAGTACCCTCTTCGTCTTCTAGTTGCTCAAAAGCATCTATAAATATGCATGTAAAGAAGTTACGGAGGTCAGAAAGCATGATGACAATCTTTGCTAGAGAAACACAAGAAAGTGCTAGATTTACTCCTGTTCAACGAAATATATACGCCAGTCTTAAATCTATTATAATAGACCATCCTTACTCATTCGTTTTTCAGCCTATCTATCAGCTCCTTTTCGAGGATTCATTAAAGAAGCTACCAAGCAATTGACGTTTAATTATATTCACAACAAATGCACAGTAAACCGCAGAAATCAAATTTTTTTGAAAAATCCCGAACCTTTAGGTTTGTTTAAATTTTGAATCGATGATGAAGCAGCCATTCGATTCTTTCTAAATCCCTGAAAATATAACTTTTTCTCTTTTCCCTTCCAAATCTCAGCTAAATTCGAAACCTGAAAATCACTTCATGCTGCTATATTTTAAGTACAGTATGACACAGCTGTTTTGGCAAGGTGAGTAATTTGATCAAACATTACTGCAAAATTCAGATGATCTCGCTCATTCTCTGCACATCGTTTTTCTCAGATAAAGTAGAGAATTAAAGATCGAATAGGCAACATATAGAATAACGGACAAACAAGCACAATAGACGTCAAGAGAATAGAATATTGATGAAATAAGCTACAGTTTAAGGTTACTTTATTAAAATAGGAAAAGTTGTTATGTTAGTTATACTTCAAAAACCGAAAAACATCGTTCCTAGTTAAAAAAAGCCAAAATAGTGATTGATTAGAAACAAAGAAAACAGTGATCACGACAATTTGTTTTCCAACTATGAACATCTCCGAATCACTACTACAAGAGTAATTGCTAGACAAAAGCTACGGTCCAGAATTAAACCAATATCACGCAAATATCTAACTCCAAAGTTAGATATCCTATAAGTAACTAAAATTATCCCGTGAACCCACTCCCCTCCCAAACTTCTCAACTTTATCCAAATTCTATAACTACCCCTCGATTTAAGATCAAAGAAAAAATGTCGTCATTATTTCACGCCTTTATATTTTAGTCCTAAATGTAACGAATTCGGATCATGAAATAAATGCAAGATGTATTGGATAGAGCAAAGATTATTGCAAAAAATTTGAACCAATACTGATTTACACGATGTAATTGTTAAATCAGTAATTGCAATTCTAAACAATTAATATAACAGTAAAATTAGGCCAAGAAAAAAGAAAGAAAAATTGAGCCGTATTGGAATAAAAATTAAAACAATTTAATATATAATTATATTTGAATTTAATCAACTGTTTGTTAATAGCTTGATGTTTGATATTTGATTAATTCATTAATTTTTTCGGATTTTTTTTATTTGAAAAAACAAAATATATGCTTGTTAATTTTTCAACTTACTTTTTGATCAATTATTTAATATCAATAAAAGTGTAAATATTTTACAGAAATTAAAAATAATAAGAATTGGTTTGGAATAATTTAAGAAATATAGCTAAGAATATCGTGTAATCTTTATTACTGTATCCTCTATCCACTTTTTCTCTTAAAATACAATAATTCTAAATTACAGTAATTTTCTAGACTGCAATAATGAAGAGAAATTTTTTTTTTTTTTGGAAGATATAATGGGAAATAAGATTATAATGAAATTTCAGGCCATCATCTCAACTTTTTTTTCTCTCTTGTCCACTCCTTCGCCTTCTCGCCCCGAATACATTAGTGTATTAAATCGATATCAATTATGTTATCTAATCGATAGCGATCGATATCAATTATAATAAATACAGATAATAGTGAAATATCAAGTAAGCAATGAAAAGCATAAAATATTATGCTGTAAAATTTTTACAAATTTTAAAAAATACCAAAAAATAATTACATTATTAAGTTTTGGCAGAAACACGAAAAATTTTTCGGAAATTTTTTCAGAAATTTCATTTAACGAATCTACAAAAATAAAATAATTTTTTGATAAAAAATTAACATTTGGGAAAATAAAAAGCAATTAATGGTTTTGAAAATTTTAATAAAATTTTAATGAACAAAAAAATTTTTGAACGAATAAAGTGAAGCTGTCAAATCCCGAAAAATAAACTAACAACGATGAAAAAATTGTATAAATAGTATATAATTTATTCGTTCTATTCGTATTATTTAATGTATTATGTCATTTTGGTTCATTTTTCCTTAACTCATCCATTTAAAACAATAATTCCCGGTTGCTATCCGGATAGATCTTTACCCCTTCATAGGAAGAGAAATGAATTCTGAATCCCGAATCTTAAATTTTGAATCTCGATTAATGGTGTACTTCAAATCAAAATATATCGATATGCAAGATATAAAACTTAATGCTGCATAAGCAATACTTTTATTCGTTATCGAACAACAATTACTCAAATATTATTTATTAGAAAATTACTTTGAAAATTTCGGATATGAATAAAATTTGAAAAAGTAAAAGCAAAATGAGGAACAAAGTGAAGTATAAGAAAGAAAAAATAAACATAGTAAGATCGAGGTAAATAACAAAATTTTCATGTTTTAAACAAAGAATCGCAAATACAAAATGGTTAATTTAAATTATCACTTGATAAATTTCTATTGGCTAGCTTGATTTATCATGATGATGAAGAAGAAGGAAAGGATGAAACAATAATAATTATATGATTTTAGAAATTTTCAAAATTCAACATAATTATATTCAAAATTTCTTTTTCCCGTATTGCAAAACAAAATCAAATACTTGATATACATCAAGAAATGAAAAAATCATTCTTGCAAAACAAAACCCAATACTTGACATATATCAAGAAATGAAAAAATCATTGATAAATGAATAGTTTGAAATATATTTTGCCCAAGTTCTTGTTTATTTTAAACGATATATCACAATTAAATAGTTTAATCATTGTTATTGAATTTATACATACTTTTCATATAATTACATCACTTAATCCAACTAAAAAATGCAAACGACAATCGCCATCATCATTATCACTAACATTATCATTATGAGCACTGCTAATCATTATTGTTCATTATGTTCATAATTGTAATCATTATTATCGTCATCGACTATCGCCATCCACATTATCATCATTATGAGCATTATCAACCAGCATTAATTATTATCGCTATCAACATTCGCTATCAATATGACCACTGTCAGTCATTATCATTACCATCATTATTATTTTTCATTACCATTCATTATCATTATCATTACCAACCACCGTCAATGACCATTGTTATTATCATTATTAGTCATCGCCCATTATCACCACCATCATTGTTGTTAATGTTATCATTACATAAGTTATAATAATAGTAAAATTATTATTATTATTATTATTATTATTATTATTATTATTATTATTATTATTATTATTATTATTATTATTATTATTATTATTATTATTATTATTATTATTATTATATATTGATTATTATATTA